GTGCTTCCTGCCATGCACAAGTGATTTGGCAGGAGATGTAACATGTGATCCACACAATCGCATGCAATCACTCCTTTACCTGCCCATGTAGACGGGGCCTTGGTTATTGCGGTACCCTCTTAGAAGAGCTTCCAAAAGTGTTCAATCATTTTCAGCTTATGTGGAATGCAGCTAGGACACCAATTTAGACAACCATATGCTTTCTCATATTTTGCCATTATAGTACATTAGGGCTCAAATTTAACTTTGAATTCTTTGATCATCAGAGAATTTTACATTTTGATTCTTGTGACAATCATGTCCAAGTATTTTGTCCTAATAAGTATATTATTTCACATTTCACCTGCATAATAGAGATAGTATCACTATAGCCTTTGAGAAATTTTTCCCCATTGTAATTCATTAGCATGTAAGAGTTCCTTTGCCTTGACATTAGGCTCTCTTTCTCCATTTTAAGGAAGTACTCTAAAAGACATTACATCTCTACTTCTGTATTATTGCCCCCTGATTTTTAACTACTTTCACCACCTTTCCTCCCTTTGTTTTCTTTGCAGGCTGTTTGGACCTTCCAACTCTGCTTTTTTAAAATTAAATATTAATTTATATCGTGTAGTGTTTTTTTTTTTTATGCCAAGATTTTTTTCTCCTACTATGCTAGAAGCACCTTTTGGGATTTGGGGGTAGTGATTTAGATTTAAAATTCTTTATAGTATTTAAAGATGGAATACTTTATTCTAAAAATAAAATTTGAACTTTAATCCCTTGTGATAATATGAATGTAGTTGGGTTTGAAATGCTATTTTTCTAGTGTCTCTAATTTTGTGTGGGGGATTTGTTTCAGATACAACATTATTCTGATGACACAGGTTGTCAACAAATTATTTTAATGTTAGTTTGTTTTATGGGCTGAAGGAAAAGGTGAAAATGATGCGTAGGCATCCTATTTTTTATCTTCCTAGATCTTTCTCTAGTATTTGACACAACTGACTAGGATAGAGGTTCCCAAACTTTTTCTTATCATGTACCCCTTCCAGATTTACTAGCTGCCCCCATACCCCTACCAGCATACGACTTATATTTTAACCCCTTAAATGCCAATTATTATAGTGAAAATTAAATTTGCTATTACACATTCTCCTTGTGTATTCCCAGGGGTAAGCGTACCACAGTTTGGGAACCCCTGAACTAGGAGATACTTTTGGTTTAATCTGAGAGAGGAGGGGCGTGGGAAGAGGGAATTTGTCAGGTAGAGAGGAGGGTTCCAGGCCATATATTAAATCAGTGGTGCTCAACTTTTTGGCCCTGTTGGCTGGTTGAGTAGAGTGGGGGCTGGTCCATGGGCAGGCCTGAGCCCTGCATACCAGGATTAGGACTTGGGGCTTGGCACTGTCCCCTCCCTGCCTAAGCACGGGGAGCAGGCCCTGGGGCCCAGGATTGCTCCTTCCCACCCCTGCAGGCTGAGATTAGACACTGGTGTTCCCCCCTCCTTTAAGTATTGGTCTTCAGGCAATTAGCACTGCCCCTTCCTACCCTAACATTCTGGGATTGGGTTCTGCGGGGGCGGGGGGGAGCTAGGACTGGCCACTGCACCGGAGTTTGGCCCTGGGGCTCGGCCCTTTGCGATGGGATTGGGTACTCAATCCAAGATGCAGGGCCCAGGGCTCTCTTTGGGTCCAGAATTTGTCTGTGGGGGAGCGGTGCCACTGCTCTTCTACTGCCAAATTTTTGGATGTGCAGGGGGTCCTGCAGGACAGATGGCATGGGGATGTGGGCAGGATCTGGCCTGTGGGCCCATGGGTTGAGAACCCCTCCCCCCCACCCCGCC